CCCCAAAACCCCAAAACCCCAAAACCCCGTAAAGAGCAAATAATGTGAAATCAGAAGATTAGTTTAATTTATTTTTAATTAATTCTTGCAATGGCTTATAATCCTTTATCCTTTGCACAAAAAGATGCAAGAAATGTAAGACACTTTATACCTAATAGGATTACCATAAAATTTTATCAAGATTTGATTATAATTAATTGACTATGATTTATAGCCTTATGGATCACCAGATATTTCAAGACTTAAGAGGAAATAGTTCCCTTAAGCAAATATACACTATGCACATCATGATTCAGTCTTGCCATCAAAAGAGCTTATATAAATTTATGAATAGTATGAGAAGAGGTAAAAGACTTAGCAAGTCTAGTAATTTCCTACTCAAACTGATGAAAATCCAGAGCATTTCTCATCAGAATACAAGAAAACATACTAACTAGGACAACCTGAGTTTTAAGAATAGATGAAATATATAACTCCCGGAGAATATGCTGGCAAAAAAACATTTAAAGGCCCTTTAGTAAATGTAGCTGCTGACACGAGCAATTGGATGGAGGAAAATGGAAATTACACTAGCATTTTGGCAAATCAAGCATTGAACTATTAAGAGTAAGAAAAAGATGATCAAAAACTTTATTATTAGCGCCAAAGTATACTTCAGAGAAATAGATAATCTCAGTTAAAGCAATCTGCAGAATATCAAATGAAAAATTTAGCTGGAAGTTCATCAATTGAACGACCTTATTACAATCTTAATTAAGATCTTGATATTTCAATTAACACTCCTCCAAAGGAATCTTAATATGAGTCTATTATTAGATAAAATAAGAATGAAAGACCAGCAGTTAATCTTAATTCCTATTATCAAAATTAGTATAAAGACGCCATCAACATGGAAAACTAATTGGATATTCCTATCTCAGTGAATAAAAGCATTGATTTGCCTAAAATTAATGGTCATTTGAGAAGCTCATCTATTTTAAATGACTCGAGTTCATCAAAATAGCAAGACTCTTAGAGACCTGTTAGCAATATTAATCATAGAAATCGATATGGTAGAAATAATTTGGCTTAACCTGAGTCAAAAAAGTAGGCTCATTCCTCATTAAATCAAATTAATGAGCCTTATATTAAAAAAGAAGCAGAAAACTCATAAGGTAGCGCATTATTTACTGAGCAAGAGAGATATTTAACAAGACTAAGAGGTTCAATAGAAAGATAATCATAACTCTATCAAAATTAGGCACGACTTTTGCCTACTAGTAATTAAAGAGCTACCTCTATTTATAAATTAGACTAAATAAGCAATACAGATATCGGTTTAAGCAATAACAATATCAATCGATACAAGAGTCAGCTAAATGGAGGAAATAAAAGACATATGAATCTTAATCAAAGTGTAAATGTCCAAGGTATATCTCAACTTAGTAACAGTTTATTATGAAAGGGATAGATATCAAGAAAGTTATATAAGTATATTTATTTTTGAACTATCATAATGTAAATCAAATTTAAGATCAAGGGGTTTTGGGGTTTTGGGGTTTTGGGGTTTTGGGG